TTTATCTGATGCCGTTGGGATCTGGGAATCTCCGAAAAAGACATGGTGCAGAATGAGCACTTTGATCTTGCTGCTGTCAGTTTTATCTTATTTTGTTGGTTTCCCCCGTCATTTGTTATTTTCTGTGTAAATGAAATCATGGAACGTGGAGTAAAATCTTCCTAGTCAGCTTTTATATATTTTGTTGTAGCTCTTTCATTCATGCTTTCGTTCATATGAGCAAAAAAAAGAAAAAATCTGAGTCTTGTCATGTGCTATTCTGATTACATTCTCATGGTATAATTATAATGGTGTTAAAGCCAACTTACACAACTAGATTTGCAAATGCAGGGATAGAAATCTCTCATTGAATCCAAGACTGTACTTCCCTGAGAGCTTTTTAGAAAAAAGTCTTCTTAAATAACAAGCTAGGATACTTGTACATGTGTTTTGGCTAGAACAATACAGCTTTGCCTTTGTTAGAACAGGCTTAGCAAACTGAGCCAACACACACCACTGTGAAAAGGCAAGAAAGAAAAACGTTTTGGCAAGATTTATATATATGCCTAAATCCTCATAAATCATTTAAACCCTTTATCTAATTTAAAAATGATACTGAAGAGACTACCACTTTTCCTCACTTAGAATAAATAATTAGGACGCGGCTGACAAACATTTGCACCGAGCATTTGCATTATTTCTAACTGGGTAGAAATGTTCAGCTTGGGGAATGTCCTGGAGATCCTGTAGTAAGGGATTATTCTCAATGTTCCTTTTAAAGAATACACACAATCAAAAACCTCACTGATAATTACAGATTTAAACTTGCCCTCAGATTGGCATTATGACACTGTGCGTACCCCGCATTTAACAAGTGTAATCCAAAACAAAGACACTGGAAAGTATTTTCCACAATTCAGTACGTCAGTCTGGTAAATTATCTCCCGGTCTCTGCTACATATATTAGTCTTCTAAATCTGAGAGACATATCTAATTTTCTGCAGTAATATATGCTGACTGTCAAGAAGAAATCGGGATTTTCTGCTTCTTTATTAAACAATTTCTGCTTGTTGGATCCCATTAGCAGCATTTGTTTTTTGGTTTATATGTCATATCATTTTATCTAAAACGTTGTCACGTGATGGTTTTTAGAATGGGGCATGTGTTTTTGAATCACTGCATCATCCAGGCAAAATGTAATGCAATTCTTTAGAACTCTAACCCCTTAACCCCTGTACATCCTTTAATAATTTGTTTTGTTTGTTTCTGTTAGTTTTTTTTTTTAAAGAAGATCAAGCATATGATTAGTTTGATAAGCTCCTCGGCCCTTTGTATGTGCCAATACAAGCATTAGTTTTTTTCCATTTCCCTTTCTCATATGAAGAACTCCATTCGCCTTCTCATATTTATTTGGTCCAGCAGGTGTGTTTTTTCTGTCTATATGGGAATGTGAGAAAAGGGAAGGGGAAGTCCAAAGATGAGGGTGCTGCATGGTATTTTTCACTTCAGAGAATGTGCTATCAGCTTGACAGTAAATTTAAAAAAAACAAAAAACAGAATTGCATTTCTGAAATAAACTCGGTGCAATATATATAAGGTGACATTTTCTCTATCTTTTTCTTTTCTGTGCCCTTGTGTTAATATCTGAGAGGGCGAGAGGTTACATATTGATGTGCCTTCAGAAGAAATACTGTCACGAGTTTAAAGTTTTCCTCATCTGCCTTTTGCTTCGTAGTGTTTTTTTCCTTTATCAAAATCCAGTAACTCATAGTGGCTGCCTAAATGATATTGTTCAACACTGGAATGCTATAACCACACATCTGATACAAACATTCCTGCCTTTTCTGTAATAGCATCATTTTTCAATGTCTTCTTGAACTCATCCTGACACGCATACTGCCTTGTATTACTGTACTTGCGAATTCCCCCGAAAATCCTCCTCCTTCCCAGTTGTCATAGCGTTAGTAGTACATGTAATACACATACTGTAAATTTTCACACGCGGTATTCATCTGACAGGATTGTGACCTGAATGAATCTCTGCCTGCTTCCTTCACTCTCTTCTGTAACTGCAGACCTAATTTTATAGAGATTAAGCTGGAAAGATAGTGGAAAATTCTGAATTTTGTAAAATGAATTTTATAAAAACAAATCAGGGGCGAGAAAAAAAAATCTAATAAAATGTTTGATATAAGTTTACGGTTTTCTTTGTGTGGTTTTTGGTTTTAATTTTCGTTACTTTGAAACTAAAGTTGGAATTTTGTTTGGCTGCGATCCGGATACCCTTTTTTTTGCTCTGTTCCCTTTTCCTGTTTGACCTGCCCACAACCCATTTTTAGGCTCCCAAAACATATTTTGTGTACTGTGCACACTAAAGGAGAGCCAAACTGAATAATGCTTCCAGCTTCCTTCTTGTGCTTGTGTGAATTTCATCCTATGCCAAGAAACTGCAGTGTTTACATAAATCTGTGTCAGGATGATTGGTTTAGACACGCTGCATAAATAACAGCATCTATCCAGGATGATCCCATGGTGCATGAGTGCTGCCAACTCAGCTGGAGCAACAGCTACAGGAAAGATTGCTTCCCTCCAATACACTCGCACGCACGCACGCACGCACACACAAACTCAACTGGGCAAAACTCAAAGCAAAAAAAGATCTGCAGTTGGAAAAAGCTGGACTAATGCCCAGTCAGGATGAATTATCATGTCACACCAAAAAGAACACCATTTGGACACTCACACCAGGTCCACATCCACGGTGTGGTCCAATTCAGAAAGAAATGATTTAGATGCGTTGCTGAAAATGTGTAGTTTTAGATAAACTGAAGTGGGAAACTACAGAGATGATACCGCTGGAGTTTCTCCACAGCGCCTTGGGGATGCTATCCAATGCCAAAAGTATTCTTGTAATTTTTTATTTTTTTTTTATTTTTTAATGTTCTGCAAATCAGTTCAACTTTCCTTAATCCTGGTGATGAGATGTGTATCTGCTGTGGTGATGGGTCTCAGTTTTGGCAGGCAGGACAATTCCCTGCTGTCGGATTAAGCACTGTGACTCAGGGCCAAATCTGAGAAATGCCACTCCCTATCAGATAGCATTATGCCATGCTAAGAGAAATGATTGAGGACACACTCAAGCTTCAGAAAGAGAAGAAAGGGCTTCTTTTTTTCTCTCTCTATCTCTGCTGCATTTGAAGTCATAAGACATATTATTTTCTGTAGTGCCAATATAGATCTCTTGGGATATGGGAATTTATATAGTCATGGTGTCTGTTTGCCTTACTTTACTTCAAACACTGCAACTAAAAACAATTCATTATAAAGGATTTCATGTTTCTTCCATGCTGCCTTTTGGGATAAAATCCTGAGAGTCATTGTGCATTTTGAACTATATTGAGGGAGCACATTTGCTTTTCTGTTACACTTCTATTGCAAGTGGTATAAAACACTTAACTGTCTTTATCCATAATATAAAAAAAAAAGTAGATGATATCTAGTCTATGCAAATGCATATATTTAAAGAAAACTAAGCACGTGAGGAATAAGTCATTTAGAGTTTGAAGAGTACATCTGCAGCTCATCTGAATGCCATACAGGACTTCTAACAGGCAGTTACGTTACAGAAGAGTTGATGGTGCTCCCTGTGGTGACTTAATTGAATACATTTAGATTAGGGACATTATTGCTCTAATAACCAGAATCAATTAATTTCACAGGATTAAAGGAATACAAGTCCTAAGTATTTGCCTAGATAAAAATCTCCAGCTGTTTTTAGCTTCATCCTTTTCTGCAAGTCTCTGCATATCTCTGCATATAAGAATGCAGTACAGCCTAAGTGGGTTTTTTTTTCAACTTAAATAGAGCTTTGCAGATAATAATATACTTCTGTTTTTTAGATGTAGATAATCAGATGCATTCAGGCTTTGACTCAAACCTTGTACATCAAACATAGGAGCTCGTCTAAAGCAGGAAAGCATCAACAGAGAAGTGGCTGCTTTCTCTAAAGCTATTAAGGCGTATCCGTCACATCATAGCTGCAGACAGCAATCATCTAGATAATATTATCTTGTTTAACAGATGGAAGCTCAAAACTGTGTTGCGATCCAGACGCGGCTCTGGAGTAAAATGTGTTAAAATGGGTCATAGACCATTTTCTAAAACTTCATACGATGTCCCCATAAATTAGTGATGTAATCCATTCAAACACCTCCATCCAGTTTTGAAATATATTCACTTTTTATGTATTTTTGCCCCCAATGTAATCTGGCCTAGATCACATTGACTGAATGCACGAGGAATGTGGCGGCATTATGTGATTGTGGTGCATAAACAGACCTTGTGACTTCATACTGTCTTGTTAGGATTTGATGTTCACTGAAGATGACTAATAATATTGTTATGAATCAGTTCTTTAACAACGAATTTAACAGAGTAATTCCTCTGATATCTCCCTCATATAGTGATACAGAGCTTTGCTGCTGCTGCTAAATTACAAACATGTTCAGCTGGCAGCAGTTCTAATGCAACAGATGCTGTAGCCTATGAGACAAATCCTCTTAGTGCATTTTGTAATTTGATTGTAGATGAGTCAGTCTGTTAGCCATGTTCCTCATCTCTGTGTCTAAAATGGTTTATGGACTGCATGGAGGACCACTTCACTGCCCACTAAGGATACTGTTAGAAGGATTGACATTGTTTGAGTGTTACCATCCCATGTGAATACAACCGATCATTTTTTGCTCTTTACATAGTCTTTAACATAACCTTGATTAGCTCAGTCGCCTTAGCAAGTCCTAAAAAAGATTATTAATATGTATTATTGTGGTTGTTGTTGTTGGAATTTTAATAATACATACGCGATATATATTTCAGAATTTAAAATTACCTTGGCGATCTCTGTGCAACAGCGCCTTCTATCCTCCGCTGCCGTTCACAGCAGGCTGTCTGTTAGTATCACTCTTCTTAGCAGACTCCTCCTTCGCCATTTTTGACTGTAAACATCCTGTCGATTTTAAAAGGACAGCGGTGAGCGGGAGGAAGGCGACTGGCGCCATCTTGGCTGTTTTAATGAGTACAACAGGGAAGAATTTGCTGGGAGAAATAACTTAATCATTGGGGTTTCGCTCAAGAGGGGATACTGTCGGTAAGTGTGTTTGCAGCGGAAATATTTGGGCGCAGTTTTGTGTATTTTACAATAGGAAGTAAGCATGCATGTGTGAGTTTATTCACTGCGGCCTTCAGTGTAAAAGAAGCCGTTAGCCAGCAGTTAGCGATAGTATTGTGCTAGTGTAGAGGGAAAAAGTATGGGCGCCTTGTTCCTGTGCGCTTCACTTCCCCCCCCCTCACGTGCTTCGTTTGTGTTCTTGCCATTTTATAAAATTTGTGGTTTTGCTCAAATTAAGTTAATTCAGTTTGATCCACATTTTCTGCTTCACCGCGAAGCTGCTCACTGCTTCTTTTGTAGTTAGCTGCTGGCTAATTTAGTTCATCCCACTTGATGGCGCCGGCTATTTGCTGGCGCAGACCACTCTTTGGCGCTTTTAACGTGTTAAACTGTCTGAAGTGCGTGTTCAAAGACGCGTGGGGCTTTTCTAGTTAATTATTGCATTTTGGAAATGTAAAACTTTGTCGTATTATTGAAGTTAAGCGCCGCCAAAGTGAGACTTTCCACAGATAGACATGTGGATTTACAGTGTTTGCCTCGGAGAGTTGGAAATAGGCGGAACTTGAATGAAGTCACGGCGCATGTTTTGATAACGTTCGAATCTCACTTTCTATGTGTAGTTAGTATCTTACCAGCAGTAAGTAACAATTAAAGTTTCATAACTTTAATTTATTTGTAAGAAAAAAAGTATACGAAGTGTTTCGAGGGAGCTCAATTGGATGAAGTATGAAGTAGCCTCGGTAAATCCAGCTAGCAAGCCCCCTGCTTAATATGAGCGGCGGCTTTCGAAGTTGTCTCAAAATGTTAATTTGAGATACAATAGACCGCTGTTTATTAAATAGAAGCATTCTGATGGCATTATTATTTAAAATATGGGGTAGTGTCTTAACGACTCATGCGACTTGTTGCCCAACTCCGGCTTGGTGGCCTGGTTAAATTTTGGATCTCTATTCCACAATCTGCATGAGTGTCCATCCGTTTTATTTGTAATGGCTTGTTTTGTTGGAACATCAAGGTTATATGTAATTAAGCAATAGGTTTTATTTTGGCTTAAACATTCAGCATATTTCTGAACAAATGATAGTTGCAGCGTATTACTAAGTAATAATTGTGTGCAACTATCCAGTGGTGTTTTCTTCGACTTTTTCAAAAAGTAGATTTGACTCTTAATCCCACATCAAGAACAGTCAAAAGTGTTGAGGATTGTATTGTTGAAGTAGGGCAAAAGATGCATTGTTTTTCCACAAATCCTAAGGGATGGTAATGCTTTTGTCTTGACTTTTTTTTTTTTTACTACTTTATTATGTTTACAGGTAAATTATACCACAGGGTGAGCGTGTGACCCAGGAGAAGCAGGGCAATGTTCTACGCCCACTTTGTCCTCAGCAAACGTGGGCCGCTGGCCAAGATCTGGCTGGCGGCCCATTGGGACAAAAAGCTGACCAAGGCCCATGTGTTTGAATGCAACCTCGAGAGCAGTGTGGAGAGCATCATCTCACCCAAGGTAACACAACAAAAATAGTCTCAGGTATTCTGGTGGTTCTACTGTAGACTTTTTAGTCCACTTTCTATGCTTGTTTTGATCTTGAGCTGGTGAAATACTAAAACAGGACAAATAACCCTGTAAAAATTTATTTTCTTTGAGCATTTTGGGCACTTTTGTTTTTTAGGTGAAGATGGCATTGCGTACATCAGGCCACTTGCTCCTTGGGGTGGTGAGAATTTACCACAGGAAGGCCAAATATCTGCTTGCTGACTGTAATGAAGCTTTCATCAAGATCAAAATGGCTTTTAGACCAGGTAAGGTCTTTTTTCTGTTTCTTGAAGTTTTGATCCGTTTTCCCCAAACAAATAAAAACATTTTCCAGCCCATTGCTGTGGTACTGACTTTGATCCATTGTGCTACACCTCATAAATAAGAACCACATACAAAGTTGTGTGTTTTAAAACTACGTTGCTGCTTGTCTGTGTTCAGGTGTAGTGGATCTACCTGAGGAAAACAGAGAGGCAGCGTACAATGCTATCACCTTACCTGAAGAATTCCATGATTTTGACCAGCCACTTCCAGATCTGGAGTAAGTCAACTATGTAAACGACTCTTATTTTGTAATTTCTACCAAATACTTTTGTCATTTGTAGGATGCAGTGTAAGGTCTGTGTTTTCAGTCCTTGGTGTTAAGTATGACAGCAACGCATGCCCCCAATTTTTGCTTTCATCAACCATTTTTATTGTCAGTGAAGCCCATCTCATTGCACAATTGCTATCATTACACAGATTGTTCAATAACAGAAAGATGAAAACTTTGTAAATAAGAGCAGCTATTTGGTGATTCAAACAGTGGTGACAAAGACCAACATGGGCTATTGTATCTAATAAAATTCTGTATACTACATAGAAAAATGTAGTTCTGCAAGTTGTATTGTAAATAAATGAATAAATAAATAAATACTGCAATTAACAACAAGTATATTGAGTTTCAGTGATGGGCTGACATGGAGGCTTTATAATAACGTCATAGGCAACTGTTTGACTCATCTCTAATACCTTTGTTTGCTTTCTTCTTCAAATAGTGACATAGATGTTGCTCAGCAGTTCACCCTGAACCAGAGCAGAGTAGAGGAGATCACCATGAGGGAAGATGTTGGCAACCTGAGCCTCTTGCAAGACAATGACTTTGGTAGGTCATTATTTATGTCCTCATGTGTACACACACACACACATCGCACAACCCAACCATGGTAATGGTCACCACACTTGGCAAATTTAGATTTACTAATTATGTCTTTGTTATCCATTGGGGTTTGAAATGTTTAATTCATTTCTGTGTAATGAGAAATGTGGTGTATATTTTATAATATCTGCTGTACTCCTCAGCTGACTTTGGCATGGACGACCGAGAGATGATGCGTGATGCCAGCACATTTGAGGAGGATATAATACATGGTGCGACGGCTTCTAACCTGTTGCTTGAGGCTGAACCTGGTCCAGCTAATCTTCCTGACAAATCCAACCACATGGAGTATGATGACTTTGGGGACGGCTCCATGGGCAACAGTGACGGGGGGATGCTGGGTGAGAAGCATATTTGTTTACACATTGGGATCTGGTGACCGCATCATCATCATTGCTACATCATTCTCATACTTGGCAAACAATTCTTGTTCTGTGAGATATGATAACATGATAACGCTAAATGTATTATTTCTTAGTTGACAAACTGCTGAGCTCTGAAGACGGCGGCGGTATCTTTGACGATCCTCCAGCTATTACAGAAAGTGTCATGATGCCTCCAGATCATGGTGATGATGAGGATGACTTTGACAACCTCCAGTCACGTAAGTAAACAAAATTGTAGAAACTATGGTGATAAAACTCCTCAGTTGTGTGCCTTTATAAGTGACCATATTGCCTCTTTTGATGCGTGTGTCCAGCGGGCCCAGACAGCCCAGACTCAGGTCCACCAGAGCCCCTGCCTGCCATGGCTGACCAGACAGAACAGACCACTCTGGTTCACAATGAGGAGGAGGCCTTTGCCCTGGAGCCCATTGATATCACTGGTAAGTCCCCGCTCTTTTGTTGAGATGAAAGGCTGCATTAAAGAGGAGAAAAAATTGAATTGAATTCTTTATTTATTATTCTTTTGTAGCATTGCAGTTTTACTCTTCTTTTTTTTCTTTTTTTTTAAATTGCGCTCCATAAAAAAAAAAAGGGCCTCTATAGTCAATGCTGCATAAACACACTCGCTCTGCAATTTTAAATGCTTAAAAGTGATTAGTTTATGGCAATAAGCACCAAGTAGCCACAAAATTAAAACCAACTACAGATAAAGTTAATAACATTACACTTTTTCTTTAGTGCTGTGATAGCTTTTCTATTTAATGTCTCTAGTTGTACTGAGAAATTTGAAGGCAGTGCTGCAAATTAATAGGACTGAAGAAAGGCTTAAATTTCTGTAATATTGATATATAATTTGCTCAGAGCAATTAACTTTTAGTTTTACTTGTCTATATTTTGCAGGATAAGCCACATAGTTGCAGGTGTACACAGGTTTGATAGGAAGATAATGTCCTCACTTCCAATAAACATGCTTAGTGTAATACATTCTTACTCTCTGGGTAATAATGGGCTATATAGAGTGGAAGCATGAAAATACAGTGCAGGCTGTATTTACGGGCTTAAAGTACAAATGAATTAAATGTGCCATTTGTGTATACAGCTGGAGTGATTACAACAGAACCATGTTTGCTTGGTGTAACAAACATAGGGAAAAAACTGCTAACTTCTCTGTAGACACAGCTTTAACATCATTAAGCACTTATCGTAATAATTTAATCTCCTAAGACCCGAACTCTTCCATCGCATGCATTTTTAATTTCTCTTTGATATTTGGGCATATTGGGACTCGATGAATGTAAAAACAAAGAATTACCAGATTTTTTTTTTTTTTTAACTTAATTTTTGTTTCTAAGAAAAATGAGACCCACATATGAGGATATTCGTTTAAAATTTTGATAGAACAGCAGCAGTATAATGTCCTCGTAAGTGGATATCAGGTGCTTGTAGCGCAAAATTGAGTATTTTGGTCTAAATAACCCAAAATGTGATGTCCACATAATGTGGACGCCAGGTCCTAGGAGGTTAAAATTGTAATTTTAGTTGTAGGGTAGTTATGGTGAAATAACCATTGTGAACTTTTTTTTTTTCTTGTTTCTTTTCAGTTAAAGAGACCAAGGCCAAGCGTAAAAGGAAACTGATTGTGGACAGCGTGAAGGAGTTGGACAGCAAGACCATCAGAGCCCAACTGTCTGACTACTCAGATATTGTCACCACCCTGGACCTTGCCCCTCCCACTAAGAAGCTTATGATGTGGAAGGAAACTGGAGGAGTGGAGAAGCTCTTCTCTCTGCCTGCTCAGCCCCTCTGGAATGCCAGGCTGCTCAAGGTAACAAATGCTTGTGATAAATATTCATGTATTTGTGGGTAAATGCGCACACACATTGAGAACTAACACAGACTTTCAGCTGCCTGTCTGAAATCACTGCTAAGGAATATTAGCACTTTGGTGTGCTTATCACCGCTTTCACAACAGCAGTCCAATTCTCCAAGTAGGTCAGCCTCAGTTGCTGTGTAATGGAAAGGGAGAGGAGATGGAGTAGATTTATAACATAGTATTTTTTCATTGGCATTCTGTTCAGATTGTGGGATTTAAAATGAGAGCATTGAAGGAGCAGGAGGTGGAGGAAGTGATTGTTTTTGCCTCTTTCCCTGTCCTTTAACACTGACGTTACTGCTTCTGAATACTAAATAGAAAATGTGTCGATGCATAATTTAGGACAATTTCCTTTTGTCTCACATAAGTCCTCCCAACAGTTCTGCATTTTTGTTTTAATACTAACTTGTCATATAGTGGTTTTTAAATGTGTAAAAAAAAAAGTAACACCCGCCCCTCTCACAAGTTGTTGTTGTTGTTGTTTTTTTGTTTTTTTTTACTTTTACATATCTGATACCAGATGTTCACACGTTGCCTGACACCTCTGGTGCCAGATGAGCTGAGGAAGAGGAGGAAGGGAGGCGAAGCAGACAGTCTGGATGAGTTCCTCAAAGAACTGGAGAACCCAGAGGTGCCTAGAGACGAGGTCTTAACTCAGCACAGAGATGTTACTGGTAAGTCCTGCTGGAAATGACGAGAGGAGATCATGTCGTTAGTTGTGTTAAAGCCTCAGAAGGGAGACCATATTTCATCAAATAAGGTGGTGTTCACCTCGACAGTTGTTATTACTTTCAATGAATCTCTTTCTTTGTGTCCCTCAGACCAGCCTATCATGGAGGAGCCCAGCATACTGGCAGCCTCTGCAATGGAGGGCAGCAGAACGGCCTTGGATGAAACTGTCATGCCCCCTCCCTCCACCCCACGTGCAGTCAAACGCAAGGCTCTTGACAAAGACGGCACCCTTCCTGTGAATATCTATTTCCTTTTTTTTTTTTTAATTAAATAAATAAATAAAAATTATTTATGCTGTAAAATCAGCAAAATTACAGATGTCTAGTTTACCTTTGCATTGCGTATAACAATGTGCTGTTGTTTGTATCTAAAATGTATATAATGGACAGCTGATTCTTGTTAGATTTTCAGTTCTTAAACAGTGTTTTCCTAGACCAGGCTTAAAGATTTCACCTGGTTAGGGTCACATTCGTGTTAAATGTTATTTAATAGAAAGGTTCCAACAGATGAAGTTGTTTTGAATCTGTTGAAACATCAAAATGGGTCCAGTTGTAGAAATAAAACATTTCAGGTTACTGCATTTTGTATTAACTCGGTCCTGATTTTGATGTTTTCTGCTTTCTTTCCTTTTTTAGATGGTTCCCTTGGAGCCGCAGCAGTTGGCTGACCGCTCAGTCGTGCCTCAGAGGTTAGACATGCCTCAGGTGGAATTGCCCCCAGAGGAGAGTAGTCTCAACCTCACAGACCTTGTCCCTGAACTCAACCTTCTTGGGGAGAAGGAAAAAGACAAGAAGGATGAAAGCGATGAAGAGGAGGTGAGTGGAAATAGCCCATTCTTTTATTTATTTACATGCAAAACTGGAGAATTTGTAGTTGACAGTGTTGCCAATTTGTCCAAAGTTCCCAATCAAGAGAAGTAGTTTTTCTGTCTGTGTGGCTATACATGTCTGGACCAGTTGATGCTAATCATTGTTTTCTTTTTTTTTTTGTTTGTTGTTTTGTACTTTAGGAAGAGGAAGGGCAGGGTGGAGATCAAGATCAGGAAGAGAAGAGATGGAACAAGAGAACCCAACAGATGCTGCATGGTCTCCAGGTAAGAAAGCTGTTATGGTGCTTACACATTTCTGAAAATGGAATTTAAATAACTAAGCCTGTTAGCAAGTAATAATGAAAAGGCTTTGGGCAGTTCACAGAGTGCTTTAAAAAAAACAACAACAACTAACCTTTGTACTTTACTTGCAACATGGTTTGGATGGATTTAATCCATGGTATGGATTTAAATTTGAAACATGGTAGTCTTTTAAGAACTTTTCCTCACAAGTTGACCTCAACAGTGAGAATCATCTCAAAGTTGTGTTATGTTTGATCATACATCTATTTAATGCTTTTGTCTCATAGCGCGTTATGGCTAAGACTGGTGCACAGTCTGTTAGTCTGCTGGACTTGTGCCGGAACAACAACAGGAAGCAGGCAGCCGCCAAGTTTTACAGTTTCCTCGTCTTGAAGAAGCAGCAAGCCATCGAAGTGACCCAGTCTGAGCCCTACAGCGACATCATCGCCACAGCTGGACCAAAATTCCACCTTATTTAGACATTGGAAGAACCAACAAACACTGCTTGCAACAGGCATACATTTTTGATTCTGAACTATTTTCCTTTTTATTTTGTGTTTTCCTGATGCCCCCCCCCCCCCCCCGCTCTTTTTTTTTTTTTCCTTCTTCTTCCCTGGGGAAAGGGGGGAGGGATTAGGCGCGAATGCGTTGGAAACTTTTTAAAATAACAGATTTTACTGTACTACAGATTGAATCATGCAGTATTCTTGGTTCAAATGGAGCGAGGAAGAATGTTTAACAGAATATTTATAAAGCAACATTTTTCAGTCACCAATTTGTAAACTTTTAAGTTAAATTTCTATTGTCTGCTTATTCCTTGAGTTTTGTATCATTGCCCCTGTTTCAACTGAAATATTGCAGATTTTAGATAAAGCCCCCCAGTGTACTTTTCAATAAAACATCCTGTAATGACTGTCCATGTTCTGCAAAGGTACTGTTTTATTGCTCAGAAGTGTGACCTTTCCCATCCTCTCCTTGTTGCACTTGTTCTTTGAAAAACAAAATGTTTAATCTGTTTTTTAAAAAAAATTGGTCGATCTTACCTGGCATTAAATATCACGTATCAGATGTATAATTCAGGAAGTTTGTCGATTAAGTTTCATGTAAATTTCTTTTTTGTACCTTTTTAAGTTTATGCTTATTCACCTCTTTGCATTATATAACTAGGTAATGTCCTTGTTACAGTTAAGTTCATTATCCCACCTTTTTAGTCTTTGGGTAACTTCTAGTTGTGATACATCTGTAAAGATTTGAAATAAAGTGTTTTAAGTACTTTGATTACTAACAGGAGAGTATTGATTCACCTTAAATTCAAAGGCTCATTTCTGCTTTGAGTTTTTTCTTGTTGCTTGACCATGTAAAGAAAGCACTGAAATGCAAAAACCAGAGACTGGGATCAAAAATACTAAATGTTACAGTTGTTACATAGATGACATTGTGGGCATAGATGTCATGGAAATGTAGGGCCTTTAATGGTTTTAAACTTGGTAAGGAAAATCATTAAAAGGTTGGAACAATTGTATAGTAAACATCTTTAATGACTTAAAAAAATGGTTCAAAAGTTTTAATGTATTTGGGGTTATCTTGAATGTAAACTGTGTCAAACTTGTATGCACAAGCGTGTGTGTGTTAGCTAGCTGTTAGCAAGCTCAACCTTTTGAACAAGCTTCTGGCATAATTTTGGAAGGATATTTGACCAGTCCTCTTTGCAGGATTGGTAGAGTTTATTTGAACTCAGGAATGGCTTTGGGGAGGCCTTTCTATAACCTTAATGTTAGATTGCTGTATCTTTTAATCAGATTTGGTGTGTTTTGGGGATTTTCCTATTGAAATGGCTACTAACCATTTAGCTGTTCACTAGTCCTCTTTATTCACTATTACATCTGCATTGTGCAATGCAATATAACAGTGCTAGCAAAATAGCTCCATATCACGTTGCTACCACCACCATGCTTGATAGCTGGTAGAGTGTTTTTAGGATTGAAAACCTCACCTTTACTTCTCCACCGATTTTAGAGCAGGGACTTGTTTCTTAGTTGACAACCTCTTACTTCGTGGTGATGTAAAACTGGATAGTTTCCATTTCATGGCGGGCTTAAGCTTTGATGGTTCATGGGTGTTCCTGAACGCCCTAAAACATTCTAATCTCTCTCTCTCTCTCTCTCTCTCTCTCTCTCTATATATATATATATATATACACACACACACGTGTTTGTGACCCTGTGTTTATACCTATGTGGGGTTTTTTTTTTCTTTAAAGTCATTAGTAGACTGTACAATCAAAGAAAAAGAACAGTTCAAAGACAGCGTTAAAAGCCCCAAAGCACCATGTAGATCATGCACATCATGAGTGCATGTGAACTTCTGACCACAACTGTATGGGGATTGCTCCTTCATTTTATTTTGTAGCGGCGGTTGTCAGCATATATCATGTTAGGGCACTTGTAGAAAAGTATTATTTTACAACTCCGTTGCGCTAAATAAAAAAACCCCAACAACTTCAACTGGAACTTCTAGACGAGAAGTAGATCGGATTCTCAGCCTTTGTTTCTACACGGACAGGAAAACGGGCGTATCATCACCGGAAACGTCCGTCGCCGAGCACTTTCCTTCCTTTTTCCGCGTGGAGCGAAACATAGATGGCATCGCGTAAGGAGTCCAGCTCAGTATCCAGCACAGCGATGGCTTCTACTAGCGGCACTTTGGACTCTCCCGTAAAGCAGATCCAGATTGAGGGACTGGTAAGTGTTAGTGTGGGTCTGTGTTACCAGCTTCTAACGAGCGGCAGAGAAAACGGTTGTTAGCAGATGTGTGCGTTACAGTGTGAGCATCATCATGGCGGAGAGATAGTTCGAGGCCCTTTCTGGTTCTGTTTAAAGGGATAAAACGTGCATGGAGCCTTGTTATTCAGTTTTTGGTAAACAAATGAAAAAAAATTTCTGTTTAGAGATTCCAAACTTACTAGCAGACTAATAACATGCTAATAACAATCGTCTTTTTGTTAGCCGGTGTGTAGGTTTCATTAAACGAAAGGGGTGTTTGTTTTTTGCACCAGGACTTCCCCGAGTATCAGAATTGTGTTATTGCCGGTGCTGATTTTTTTTTTTTTACGATGTAAAGTGTTTTAGAGGTTGCATTTGCTAGCTGTGTTTATTGTGACAGATAACAGTACCTTCACTGGCAAATCTGACCTTTGTTATAGACCCACAGAAGGCCTGTGTGCCTTCCAACAGATCCTATTGTCTTGATTAAATTAGGCCCTTGTTAAGTGAGTCTTCTGAAGCAGAATTTGCTTTAGATGATGTTAAATCTCTTGTGGCTAGGTTAACAAAACACAGTAAATAAATTCATTTTCCCACTATTCTGCCTCTGCAGCACAAAAACTAACAAGTTACTGTTCTGCCTTTCCTGTTGGGACCTGGTGATGCTATTGTCTCCCGTAACATACACAGCTAGAGGCCTTTGTTTCAGATTTGTTCAGACCTAGGGTTCTTGGGCACATGTATTGTAACAGTGTGCTGGTTTGTGTGGCTATTGTGTGTACTTTGGACACAAAATTTACTTCCTCGCTGACTTGTTAGTAAGCTCTTGCGACTGTTCATTAACAGGTAAATAGTGGAACATGTTCAAACTGGACTTGAAACAATCCATGGCCCCTTTCCTGTCCTGTAGTACCTCTGCAGAAACAGCAGAGGACAAACTTGCTTTGCTGACGTTCTCCCTCCCTCCTGCCCTGAGTGGCACTGGACACAAAGCAGCTCTTTTTTTTCCTTCTTTTTTTCCCAGTGTTCCTGAACGCAGTACCAAGACTTAAACTTGCCAGCTGCTGCCTTCCTTTTATCTTGCTCATTAAAGGTGCCCCAGAGTCCTAGGCTCTAATTTCAAATCTGAATATTTCACCTCCATGTGTATTATTTAGACCCTTAATGAGATTTTCTTAATTCCTTTTCTCGGCTTTATCAGCCAAACATTTTAATCGCAACACTTAAATTAAAAACAGTCAGGAAGAGCTTGGTGTGCAGCCTCATTTGAATGGAGACTGCTGAAGGAAGGGTGTCTATTTCAGGTGGCGTTATGAAATGCGCTTCACCTGAATGCATTGATATGCAGCTGTTGCTGTCGTGTTGCGTCATGACACGCCTGTCAGAGGTTTAGCTGGAGGCTTGCCCGTAGACAGCATCACTGCTGTTGTGTAGTAGAACTGAATTGTTTCCTTGCTTTTGAAGAGGTTTCAGTCACTGATGTTGCCACAGAAGTGGAGAGCAGCACTGCAGTGGGTTCCATTAAACACCTACTGAGATCACACAATTGCCTCTGTTGAGAAGAAGCCTCGATGCACGTCAGACACGCGTCTTATTCTTGTACCACGAATTAAGGAAAAGTCAGAGCGCTTTGTGCAGGATATTTTGGCACCGTGATTTGACGGTCTCACTGACTTGAAAGGAAGGGAAAAAACAAAGTAAAATTAATCTTAACATTTCATGTAACAGTCATTTTCCACTCTCAGCAAGAACAGTCCCTTCTGCCCCCCCTGGGGTTTTTAGATAAGCCTCAGGTTCTTGAGCCTGTGCTTGACAGGGAGGTGTCATATAATAATGTAGTACAGATCTGCTGCCATGCACACAGGAGATGACTTGCTATCCAATGCAGAATCATAGCTTTACATATATTCTTCTACATAGCACAGAAGCTATACGTCATGTTTACATGCTATTTATTTTAATTTGACATTCAGAGTTCCTTGATACACTCGCTGAAGCACTGGCTGAGCAGGTACTTGAGCAAAAATAAAGCATGACTGCATCCAGTGCGGCTGCTCAGGTCAAACAAACTTGCATTGTTGAAATGTGAAGTAAAAAAAAGAAGACTCGGTCAACAATAATCAGATTTCAAGCAGCTCACTGTTCCACAGTTGAGTTGGTTACCTTGCTGAGAGGTCGGAGGAGTGCAGCCTTTTGCCGAGCACTGTTGGTCACGGTGGCTACTGCTTGTTGTTCAGTCACATCTTTAAAAAACATTAGTCCAGCCATGTTTCACCACCGAGTGCTTTAGATGTGCGAAGGGAGAGAAAAGGATGAGTTTGAAATATGAATAAAACCCTAAACAGGGAGGCTAATGTCAATAAAATAGTAATAGATAACAGTGATACTCCCGTTTGTGGTAGTAGGTGGCTGTGCACACATGAGTGTGTGTGTGAAAGGAGGCACATCTATACCTAATATAGTAAATATTATAATATAAACTTTATCCACTGCTAATTAGTTGCAGGATCCCTTTGTGACAAATAACTAACAGACCAGTAATTAGCTGCCTCTCCAATGAGTCTCTTACCCCACTGTTGGATGCCAACTAAACCATCCTGGGGAGCAGCTGGCTACGGTGGTCCCTGTTCTGCTCCGCAGCCTTGATGGAGCAGCACATGAACCAGTCCTAAACCGGCTGCAGGTTATGGTTAGAGTGGCCCTCCAGCTCGCAGCAGATCCTCAGAGCAGAACAAGGACTATTGTTGCCAGCGGCAGTCCAAGATGGCAAAGCTGGACTCAATCTGACCGTGGGATGAGAGACTCTGAGAGCCATGAGAGCGACTGGTGAGTATGCCAGGAAGGAAACACAAGATGGGAAGGGGAGTAGCTGTTTAGCAACCGAACTTTCAAAATAAGACTGAGGAAATTGCTCGTTAGGAAATTGCTAGTGGATTGCGTCATTCTTTTGGGCAGGAAAAAAAAAGGTGAAATGGGTAGATAGCCAGATATTATTGGGGCGGGACCTCTGTGGGGAAACCCTGGATAAGCAGTTAATCATATGTTTTGCTGGATATGCTGTGAATTCCTCAATCATGGCAGATTATTCTCCTAGCAATGAAAATACTACATGTCAAGGGAATTAATGGCTAGACTTTGATCTTAAATTAGATTAAAAATAAATAAATTAAAAATGACTAAGGTGTATTATGGTTTCAGATGAGGTGTCTCAAACATGAAACTGTGCACTGGTTTAGACCAGGCTGCTATCTTGATAGACTGTGCGGCAGACAGGACGCATGATATGCATAAATATCCTCACTATAAATTAGCTGTATTGCTCTGACCTCTGTACTTTCCTTTTAGTAAATTTTTTGGATTATTTGTCTCCCCACATTGCTACAGCTGCTCCCATCGGTTGTTGCCAGAGTCAGTGGCTGCTATACATCAGTCTTGGACTACTTCACATTACACGCCAGACTTGGCCTAGCAAAATCAAACATGTTTGAGAAAGATCTCACCACGCCAGCAGGCGAAAGCTGGCAGATGAAGTGGGAATCTGCCGTGGTCTTCATCCGTGGCTTAACCCAACAGACGACTCCTGCCACACAAAAGTATTTTCTCTGTCAAATATTTTGCAG